CCGACAAAGAATGGATTCGTTCATTGCGAATCCGTGTTTTGTTCAGTCTTAGCTGATTATTGCGTGAACCTCATGAAACCCGTTGCTCTTCCAAGTCATCAAATGGCATCGTTTGATTGCCATTGAGTGCTTCGACAACGGATCGCCTTTTGTGCCAATTTCACGCGTTACCTTCTACTCGACCATGCCCAAACGATCGGCAACACAGAACGACATTTGATTACGTCTAGTGAGTGACGCCGATGTTATTGCTTTTCTGTTTCTGTCAGCTGCATCACCATGTTCTGCCTGGCCTGGCGTCCGAACCACCGCCTCTTGACGTTTTCGCTATTCGCGATCGGCACCGGCCACTGACCATGCCATAACTGGTTGAGTCACGTTACCGTGCACACCGTCCACACAACAGCCGCTCTTTTCGGACTTACGACCGGCGCTGCTCAAGTGGTTTAAGTGGAGGGTCGAGGCTCAGTTGTTCGACTCCCTCCAGCTTTCTTGTGGAGCCCTCGGGTGTGAAAGCGACGACTCCTTGCTAGTACGAGTCATGATTTCAATTCGTTTGTGCGCTTTGTAATTAAACCCGATAATCGTAACCGCCCCCTTTTCGGTTCCAGCCGGTCAATGTAGCAGACGATTGCGGCGCGCAGCTTTTGTGAAGAAAACACGGTTTCTACACCATTTGCGCCAGTTATTGTCCACTTCATTCCGTTCGTTTTTGTCATGTTTTCTCCAAAACGATTGCCGCCGCTACCGTTATTCAGTAAAATTCTCCCATGAGGTAAAAAGTGCGGCACAGCAGACCTCCGTTCTCCAACGCCTCTGCTTTTTTTGATTTCGCTTTTGACCTTAATTTACATGATAACATCAACGTAAAGGTAAATAAAATTGACTTGTCTGCGTCTGCAGATTTTTGCACTTTTTCAACCATTTCTTCCCATCTACTTGCCGTGAGAATGATGTTGCTGCTAATGGACGAAAAAATTCTTGCCATACACCAGCATTACGTCCGCGTACACTCTACGCACCTGAACGTAACGAAACGCGTCATGTCACATTTAGCTTCGGTTTCCTGCGAAACGCTCTCGACAGCATCATCAGTTCTATTTATATAGACGGGTAGCAGGTAAGAGTGAGTACCCGTTACTCAGCACCTGTAATAAAGAAGGAAAGTCGAACGCGAGAGTAGGTTCAACGGGCGAGACGGCAAACGTCCTTTCAGCCGGAGGGTGACCCTGAGTCGCGGGCCGAAGATATTGCGCCTTCCCTTACGTCTACTTACCACCGCCAACCAGTTGCCCGATCGAATGTAGTTACAGCTCAGTGGCCGTACAACGCCTGAACACTTACCGGGCTTAACTTTACGCACACCTTTCTTTGTTGCCCATCCTTCGGATCGCTAGGCTATTTCTGCATCGTTTAATCAACGTTGTTATTTGCAGAAATTTCTTCGTACATGGTTTTCATTTCCAAAGCCACATTGGAAGACGCATCGGCGTGTTTCATGTCCTTTTCGGTTCCTTCGGCCTTCTTACAACGGCACTTCAGCTGCACGTGTTTTTCTAAAAATTGAATGAATAAATTTGTGCTATCGCTTCAAATAAAAACATTCAGTTAGAAAAATGTTTCGTGCAAAAACTGTCTGAAAACGTCGCATATAAATTTCATTATGCCTGTCTTTATATTTCGCATAATGCTGTCAAAGGCCAAGTTAAGTAAATATGAATGAAGTTATGGAGAAAAACAGGTTCATTTATGAATTTTGTTTTACTGTCAAACTAGCTATGGTTGCTTTCGATCAACAACGGTAGCGATAGCGTACAGCAATCTTCCAATCAACATTCGTTCATTCTGAGCCTGCTTTCCGTTGATTCCTATGGCGAAATTCA